TCTGTCTGTCTGTCTGTCTGTCTGCATGTGTGTCTGTCTGTCTGTGTGTCTGTCTGTCTGTCTGTCTGTATGTATGTATGTATGTATGTCTACTTCTCCGCCGCCCCTTTCTCTTTCTCTCCAAAAGCTTTTAGTAAAAGAAAATGCTGTACCTGTCATAGGTTAATCAAAGTAAAAGAGGGTTCTGTGACGACTAAATGCGGAACCTCGGAGGACCAAAACAAACAGAAGGAGAGTAAGATGAGCAAACTCGATTTCTCTTAGTATTGGCAGGACATTTACTCGATCCTATATCAATATGCTCCTCACCTCCACCGCTAATTTGATGGAAGCGTCTTCCATTTTGCTCTGTATTGGTAGTGAGTGTTCAGTTGGAAATAAACCACAAGAAGAGAAAAAATGTGTTGCACGTTTTTTAATGCAGAAGTCTCAATTTTTAACCTCTTCACTGTAATGCAGACTGGCCTCCAAGACTGTCTTCCTGGTTTACAGTGAAAATAAAAGGGATGTACTTGCCGGACTTTAAAGTTGTTTATCCTTTAGATTAGTGAAAGTATACCATGAATTTATTTAACATTAAATGTTTCTTGAATGAATTTTAAAAAAATCTAGTCTGTACAAATCATGATGGACATGTCTCATCAATGAAGGGATTAATGAAACTGGGAATAAACTAAGTTTGAATTGCGCTTTTTACAGATTAAGATCAAGTACATTAGTAGCAGAATGATACTAATGTCTAAAATTAGACAATAGCTTTCCGGGAAATACCTCTCTAAAAGTGTAAAGTTGTGTAAAAAAAACTATTCAATGACAGTGTTATTCGCAAGAAACCAACTTCATAAACAAGTTGTGTGCCTCTGTCAAGGTCTCATACGTGAAAAATTTATTGTCAGGGTTTATGACATTCATGATTATAGTCTTAAATGGCTCGAATACGGCGAATAACATGGTTTAGGCACATACATGACACGATAACCTTACTGGTCGAGTCTTCAAAACATAAAACAACTTTTTTTTTTACGTATGACGGCCCTTTAAAACAAATGGCACCATTGTAAGTGTTTCTTGTCGAAAATCACTTTTCGAGACAGAAGAAAAGGCAATAAAAATGAAGAAAGTAATTAAAGGAAAAAAAAAACAACCCCAAAAAAAGTTAGGAGATTCTGAACTACATCTCTCTTTAAACAATAATAGTTTATTCGTGAATAGTGAAGATTGAACACAAAATATCAAGGAGCTTATGAATCATATGCAGGAAAAGTTAACGAACTCTCTTCGTTTATAGGTAAGTTGCTCCTGGTTTTAGTCACCAGGGTGACCCTGTCCATGCTTTTTAAATATGGAAAATAGGGTAATATTTGGATTGGATATGCATATAATTAATGGAGGTTGGGTGGGATGAGGGTGGGTGAGGGAGGAGGAGTAGGTATGGAGGATGGAGGTGTAGAGGGTAAGTCGACCGGATTAGACGAAGGGCGTAAAGGACACAACACACTGAGATCGCCTTCTTCTGCTTAGCGTGGTCTACCTTTAAATCAGAAAGAAAAATCTGGTTTATTTTTGGAGTTTCTCAAACACTGGGGGATCAATATTTTTTTCAGGGCTTTTCAACAGATAATTCTGTTAACTCGGTTTGTACTAGGTTGCACCCGTGGCCACAGGAGGAATGACTCAAAAGGAAAATAAATCGAGTGCCGCCCTCCTTATCTTGCCTTCCTTACTATAAATCATGTGAAGAAATAATATACATCCGTTTCTCTATAACGTTTTTAAAAATTGCTGATTCCCCCCCCCCTCCCCTGAAAACAAAACAAAACGAAAAAACCCCGAAAACCAAAACAAAAGCAAACAAAAACAACCCCCCCCCTAAAAAAAACAAACAACCCCACCCAAAAAAACCCCACACACGCACAAAAACACAACCCAAAAAATCCAACCCAAATGCTTATCGTTCAGAAAGCAATAGCAAAGAAAAGGTAAATAAACAAACTGAGTTATGAGACACCCAAAAAATTTGTTTGTCTTTTATCGAAGTTTATCTTTGGCTGGTCTGAAAACACATTTGAGTTTGTAAGCCCTTGTATAATAATAAATGGAAGAAGGAAGCAGTGCTTTCAGATCAATATTATATAATCATGTGTGTCTTTGTGTGAGTGCGTGTGTGTGTGTGTGTGTGTGTGTGTGTGTGTGTGTGTGTGTGTGTGTGTTTGTGTGTGTATGTAAATGTGTGTCTGCATGTGTGTATGTGTCTGTGTGTGTGGTGTTTGTGTGTGTGTGTGTGTGTGT